CTGATGGCACTTCCTTGGTTCTTGTGGCTCCATTGGCTGGAAAGTTCAGTATACTGATATGAGCTGGAACAAGCAAGAGCTTCTTCTTTTCTCTAGCAATAAATTAGCGCAAATTATTCTTTCTTCTGCTACGCAGGAATATCCTGCAAGCACTGCCACTTTGCAACATGTATTTTTATTTCTTAAGACATTTACATAATGAAGCCTCCACAGGCTTCATTCTTCCCCTCTGCAAAGAACAGGTCCCAAATAGAACTTGTATCACACTTTCCAGGCTCCAGTAACTTACACTGGATGAAAAGGGGATGCAAAGTAGAATTTCCCAGCAGGAATGCTGAGGAGCAAACAGGCCTCATTCTGTGTGGTCACCCCGTAGACCTCTACCAGGCTTGCAGACCTCATCTAGCAGTCTTCACTCAGACAACACTCCCATTGACTTCCACAGAACTTCTGTCTGAAGAAGGATGCAGGATTTGGCCCAGAAGTTAAAAAAAGCCTTCTCAGCTTTCAAGTGTAGATGATTAATGTCCCAGAAACAGGGGGCAGAGGTTTGGCAGACTGTATGAAACTGACTTAAAGCTGACATTTTGCCGCTCTTTCTCAGCCTCTGTGCTGACACAAACCCAAGGCCTGAGATGCTGGATCCACCATGGGCACATCCCACCTGCCAAAGGACTCAGCTGAGGCATAGAAATGACCTTGCAAAGGACTGAGTCCAGGGTTTTACACAAGCTGCCTTCTATCTCTACAAGTCTGCAAAGGCTTCTTCTTCCAAGTTTTGGTTGCCACTAAAGTAAAATCCTGCAAAGCTCCTCACAGAGATGAGTGTCTCCATTACAGCTCCTCTTTCTGAAAGCCTGTCATGCACAAGCCACCCTCCCTCAAAAACCATTCCCTTACAGGCTCTCACAAAAAAAAAGGGGTATCCTGCACCAAAACTGTGGCATGTACAGGCTCTGAGAGGAGTATGCAACACAAGGAAGCAGTTGTGCATCTGAGACTCTGAACAGGATGCAAGAGAAGAAATGATGAGCACACCCAAGTGTAAGGAAATAATGCCCAGTTCTCTTTCCAGCAGCAGCGTGGCAGGCTCTGCACACACCTCTGTAACCACTGCCCTCTCCCACTCCTTCCAGCAGTGATTCCCTGGCTTGGAGCTCAGCACAGGCGACTGGCCAACCCCTGAGAGAACATTTCCAAGCTGTGCAGCACTGTGCAAAGAGACAGAGGAACAAAGGATGCAGAGCAGTGAAGAGATGGAGGTGTGGGCAGGGTGGAAAAGCAACACAACCCCAGCGAGCAAAACAAGGATGATCTCCATTGGGCTCACAGCTGAACAGGAACATCCCATGTTGAAAAATCCCAGAATCATTAGGGCTGGAAGGGACCTCTGGAGATCACCCAGTCCACACCCCTGCCAAGGCAGGGTCCCGTGGAGCAGGTGACACAGGAGCGCGCCCAGGTGGGTTTGGAATCTCCCCAGAGAGGGAGGCTCCAGGCCCGCCCTGGGCAGCTGCCACCCTCAATGTACAGAAATTCTTCCTCACGCTGAGGTGGAACTTGGGTTTCAGTTTATGGGCACTGCTCCTTATCCTGTTGCTGAAAAAGAGCCTGGCACCATCCTCTGACAACCTCTTTGAGATATTTATACACATTAATGCGATCCCCTCTCAGCCTTCTCTTCTCCAGACTAACCAAGCCCAGCTCCCTCCGTCTCCCCTCATAAGAGAGAAGCCATAAGCACCACTTAGAGGCCCCAAATGCATTCTCTTGGTGACTTGAAAATCCAGAAGCGTTCTGAAGGAAATTTTGCTTGCACAGGGAGCCACCAGTGGGATGAGAAAACAATGACATGGTGACAGATCAGGCCATGCCAGTGCATAGTGTCCATCTATGCACTCTTACTGCACAGTGAACAAGGCAGCTGGAGGAAAATGCCACTTCCATGCCCTCCTAATGGAGGAAGAGACTCCTGAAACCTTTGTGAGTGCAGAGCAATGAAAGAGAAAACCTTATTCAGGAGGACACACAAGCTTCTGTCCTGCTCAGCAGCCGTATGCTCTGATGGGACCAAGGGCAAAGAGGGAAACATTCCAGTTCCAGTCATGCTCATGTGAATCATTAATCACTGCAAGGACTGAGGAGAGGCCGTGGGTTTATATCCACGCAGCTTGGTTCAGGAACTGGGCTCAAAATAAAGGCAGAGAAACAGAGAGAGTGCCAAAGTGACCAAACATTACTGAAAGGAATACGCAGAAGAACGGAATATCACCTCCTTTTGAGGAACATTCAGATGGAAAGGAGAACAGTGATGAGTATCACTGTGATCCTACACATCCAGTAACTGTTCATGGCTGCTTCCCTCTTCATTTGCTGACACTAAGTGCTGCAGGACTGAGATCAAAACCAGCTCTGTACAGGCAGGGAACACCTGGAAACTTCTGGTAAAATGTTTTTGCTGGGGAATTAAATGGAGCAGTTGCTGAAGAAGATCTAAGGCTGGGGGAGAAAAGTTCAAAATATGCCAGATTTTGTATGATACTTTAAAGTAAAGCAGAGAAAGCTGTGCTGAGATGAATCAGGAAATAGAAAGAGATTCACTGCTGTGCTCCAGACCAGAGCTATTAGCCAGGCAGCCAGGTCAGCTTCGGCAACAGTAAAGAGTCAAACCCAGCCTAAAAACACACATGGGGAGCAAGGGAAGGGGGAGCCACATGTCAGAGGAGGTCCTATTGCTGAAAGAAGGCAAATGGGGAAATGAAACACCAGGCTTAGCCCGGGCTGGCAGAGAGCAGCAGCTCTGAGGGAAAAAAAGAAAGAAGAAACAGAGTGGCTGATGAGAGCTCTGCAATAAACAGAACAAGGAAAGGAAATGACAACTGAATCTGGAAAGGAAGTCTGATGAGAAGGGGCTTTTCTTCAAGGAGTGGCAGTGAAAGGGAAATGCTGTAGTAAGAACAACATTTCCACAATGGAAATTGAGGTAGCAGTTCACAGGTAATGTAGGAATGTGGTATTGAGTGCTTGGGTAAGACCTCTGCTTTTAAAATGAGAAAGTGTTGTGGGTCCTCCTCAAAACTACAGTGGTCTGTGGACAATGGCATGAGAAGAAAAGGAAATCTCCAGCCAGCACTACAGTGCCCTCACTTTTGGGAAGCCCTGTACTCAAAAATTATGTCTTTCAAGGGAAGAAACTTTTATTTGTTGTCTCTTTAAACTCTACACAAAGGACCTCATTTCATGCATTGGAGACATACAACATGAGAGGCAGATCACATGGGGGACACACACGAGGGAACTGCATGACTGGGCTGGAGAGGGGGCACTGCTCTGGATCTCAGTAAAAGGACTTCTAGAGCATGGAGCTAACCATCAAAGAATTCATGGAGTGGAAAGAAGCCATGGACTTTGGAGACTCTATCAGGGACCACAGTCTTGCAACGGTTTGGTTATATGGAAAACTTTAAGGGCAAAGGATTAATGGACCAGAATTTGAGATGTTAAATCATAATGAAATTCTAGGGCTCTCAAGAAAATGATGTGCTGGATAAAAAAGCACATAAACCAAAACACTATTGGAGGAAGTGAAAGCAACAAAAGAGTGGGAAGATTGTCTGGTTTGGAAGGCAACACGAAGCTGTATTGGAGTTTGATAGCTGAGGGCATGAAGATCCAGGGAAATGTCCATGGGAAAGACCATCTTTTTCATATCACACAAGGCAGAACAGTGAATGCATCCTAAGTAAGGGGAGAAGGCAAAGAAATCACCAAGAGTGATCCTGCAGAATTTGAGCAATATTTCTATTGAGTCCTGTGGTCTTTGGTCTGAAAAGGATCATGCAGCAGTGGGAAAAGAAAGGAAGGTCTGAGCATCATGGCAACCAAAAAGTCCATTACCCTAACACAGACCATATACAAATCTCTAAAACAGATCAACTGAGGAAGGAAGAATTGGCCAACATTGTAAAAGCAGTCACTACACCTTATATACAAAAAGTAAGCATTCAAACCCAAAAGTTGCACCCCATCTTCCCTTTCCCGCTGCAAACACACAGGCAGAACAGTTCCTATCGCAAAGGACTAGGTACATCAAACTGGTGAATTCAAACACTGAGCCATCCACTACTTGATAATGACTCTGGAAAACACTGCATGCTGTTTATCTAGTTCAGGTCCAGCTTCTAAAAAGTAGTCTTACCATTAACCCTTCGGACGAAAATTCAGAGTACACTAATTCTGTAAAAGTAACTGAGGGAAGAAAAACCCAAACAACAAAGTAACACACAAACAAGACCCGGTGTGTTGCAGACAGGTCAAAATTAAAAAGCCTCTCTTCCACAGAGGCAATTATTCTCACAGAAATATTCAGAAACTTCCTCAGCGGCGTGGCAAAAAGGGAGTGCAATGGTTCTCTACAAAACGTGGTCGTTTCACTGCTTTCTTGGGGTAAAGCTAGGAAAGAATCCAAAATTTTTTTTAAATGTAATTACCTTTTAAATTGTCATTCCCTTTGCTTCAGGGATGTGGCAGTACCACATAAATGCTAAAATACACAATTTTGCCTTTTATCTGGACAGAGTCCAGTTAATGAAAAGTTTATGAACACATTCATGCAATGCATTAGCTCAAGACATTTTGGGCTAATGTGCCATAACAGCTTCTGTATTTGAAGCTGTCCTTACAAAGGATCTGTGGCCCTCTAAATGAAACAGTGAATGGGCAAGATAAAACCCAGGATGCTCTAATCCAGCCTTACAAGACTTCACTGCAAAAGCACCACACATGTCAGCTGCACTATGGGTCACTACTACAAGAATTCTGCCAATGCACAGTTTTGGGGCCTGATTCACAACACCCTTTGCAAACAATCCCATGGGATTTAGCTCCTCTTCCCACATCATGTAAGGATGGAGGGGATGAAGGACCACCAGGAACAAATCTGCCCTTCCAACCACATTATGAGCAGCAGCAGCAGCAGCAGCCAGAGCAGCTGAGCCTACCTGTGGCACAAAGGGCGATGAAGGTTTGTGCATGCTTCCGGATCAAAAGCAACTTGTCTTGAGGGAGAGGCACCTTCCTTAGGATGTGTTCAATGAAATCGTGTGGGGTGACGGCTGCAAGGTTCCACTTCAACTTCCCCAGCACCACCAGCTCCCATTCCTGCAGAGGGTGGACAGGGAGAGCACAAGAGAAGAAAAGCCATAAGCAAGCCTGCGAAAAACTTCTGCTTATTTCTTATTATAACTTTATCACTGCTAAATTTGTTTTGCTCAAACCCTTTTTTCCATATGCCTCTACTGCTTTGAAGTTGTTGACTTTATATTTTTTTTTTTTTTTTGAACACCAGAAATGTCAGGCTCTACTGAAAATAATGAGACCTGGCAGCTCCTGCCAAGGCTTTTTTTTGTGGTTTTTTTTTTTGTTGTTTTTTTGTGTTTTTTTTTTTTTTTTTTTTGGTTTTTGGTTTTTTTTTTAATCCAGTGCTGAATGCCCACCCAGAAAGTTTAGACTGCAATTAGATATTGCCAAGGTCACTGTGGTCCTTTCCTAGTAACTTCTTTTAAATGGCTATAGTCCTTACTTTATAGCCATTTAAAGCCCTAGGGACAGCCATGCACAAAAATAACCTATACATTCCTTTTCTCAAAACTGGGGAAGTTGGCTTGATGGCATTGCCTCCCAAAACTGTACTCCAAAGGTCCTGCAGATAAATCTGATGGTGCTTAAACTACTCGAAGAGAGGCTCTGCAGAAAGGAAACACACACAACACAGCCAAGAAGTAGCCTGTGTAAATTATCTGCCAGTAAATCATGTAGGAGCCATTCCCAGATTCCTTGCACGCCCAAAACTCCCACTGCAATCAAAGGAAAGCTTGGGCGTGTACGTAACTACCGGCCATTCCCTGAAATGGGATTCCATGTGCAAACAGCACCCAGATCCAGCCATGGGGTGCATGACCTGCATGTTTAAATGTTTCAACATTTAAACCGAGTTCTGAACACCTCACAGTGCCCCACAGAGTGAGCAAAGCTCAGGCCTCCAGCTCACATTTGTCTCATCCGTCAACTATTAGCTATTAACTAAATTCCATGCACTGATTCCCGAGTCCTGATGATGCCTGATGGAGCCCAGCGTGGTGGGGAGCCCCAGCTGAGCTGACAGAGCTGGCAAGTCAGGAAAAAAAAAAAAGTCCTTTAATTTTGCAGCCGCGGAGACGTCAACCAGCGTTGCTGAGAAACCATAAACATGGACCCCACAATGCCATTTCTGCAGTCCTTTCCCTGAATAGATGCCCACTTTAACAGCAAGTTACTTTCCTACGGACATTCCTGCTCGATTATGACAGAGCCCTCCATGCTCTGAGAAATCTCACATATATGCAAAAGGCCGCAGAAACCAGACGGGATTTTTGAATTTCTCAAGAAAACCTGTAAAATGTTGGAACATAATGATGATTGTGTGAACTCAAGGCCTGCTCTTTCCCAGCATTACTGATGTGACAGGTTTTGAGAGAGAACAGTCAACCCAGAGGACCCAATACAAGGAAGCACTTTTAAACACATGCTTAAATCCACCTGGCACAAGAAGGTAGGGAAATTGCTTTGATATTCGCATGTGGGGACCATAGTACTTCCCCTGCCCATCTGTGCCACCAAGGGGACGGACACCTCGTGGCCCTGACAGCCAGGCAGGGTTTGAGGGCAAGGCTCTTTAACTCTGTGGAAGCACGAGCTATCAACCCCAGCCCCTCCCTAGGGGGAATTCCCAGTGATTCATAGGAAAAATTCTTCAACAACTCAGATGGCTACGGTCATTTCTCTGACCTAGCATCCATGTCACCAAGGGGCCCTGGTGCCCATCCAGTGCTCCACATCATGATGTATACGTCACTTATTTCCTTCAGTAATTATCAATTTGCTTCTGCCTCCACTGTGTCTGAACTGAGAGAAGCAGCAGATGTGAGGTGATTTAACTGAGCCTCATCACACAGGATGGGTCAGGCTGGAAGGGACCACAGTGGGGCACCTGGTCCCACCTCCCTGCTCCAGCAGGGCCATCCCAGAGCACAGGACACAGGATTGTGTCCAGGCAATTCTGGAATATCCCCAGTGAGGGAGACTCCACACCTCTCGGGACAATCTGTTCAGGGCTCGGTCACTGCCCAGGGAAGAAGTTCTTCCTCGTGTTCAGGTGGAACTCCCTGGGCATCAGGGGGTGCCGCTGCCTCTTGGGCACGGCCGAGCATCCCGGGCCCCCTTCGAGCATCCCGGGGCCCCCGGCCCCGGCCCCGCACGGCCGCGTGTCTGCCGCCAGGTGGCGCCGCCGCGCCGCCCTCCCGCGCACGTGCGCCCGGCGAGGTCCCCCGTGGGGACACGGCAGGGACACGGCCGGGACACGGCCGGGACACGGCCGGGACACGGCGGGGACGGACCCAGCCCCGGCACCGCCAGCCCCAGAACCCCCGGTAGCGGCCGCAGCGCCGCACGGCACTGCCAGGCGGCTTCGGAGGACAGGGATGTCCCCGCAGGTGTCCCCCGCCCTCAGCGTTGGCCCCCGAGAGTTTCTGGCCGTTCAGACAGGCGGGAAAAGCGTGGGTTTTTCTAAAAGGCAGGGGCTGGGTGGCGAAGTGCTGAGTGCTGTGCCAGAGGGAGAAAGGTGCTGTGCCGGAGAGGAGGGAGGAATGGGGCTGCTTACCAGCAGCTCTTGGGGTTTGATGGAATTGTCCGTGTATATGCACAGCTTCTCAGCTGTGAGGGGGATTGTCTCTTTCAGCTTGGAGGCCAGGAACATGCACACCGCCCCCAGCAGCTGCAGATGGCACTTCCGAGTGGGCACCACAGCTAAGAATCTGTCCAAGTAATTCATGGCCAGAGGGAAAACTTCTTCTTCGCACTTCTGCTCTTCGCAGACCTGCAAGTGAGGAGCGTGGGGAGGGAACGATGGGGCAGTCCGGGGGGAAACGGGGGTGGGAAGCGAGAAGGAGACAAGAAGGAAAAAATAAATAAATGAGTGAACCCACCAAACAGACCCCACTACTTCCCTTGCTTTTGCTCCTATTTTTGTTTCCCGGGGAGCTAAATTTTGGGGGAGGGGGAGATCTGTGGAGAGGCTGGGAAGGCTGTCAATCGGCTTTCACATTCCTTTAGTTCATTCAGTAAGAAATGAATTCAAGACACTGTGTGGGAGAGCCGAAAAGCCCCATCCAGCAGCAAGAGAGCAGCCTCAGACTTTTTTTTTTTTTTCCTTTGCGACCCAATTTTTCTTTTTTATTTCGTCATATTTTCAAAAAATCGATAAAAAATATCAAAACTTCCCCGGCGGTCCCGGTTTTGGGGCTGGTGGCATCCCGGGACGATCCCCTATCGTTTCCGACAATTGTAAAAATTCCCCCGCCGGGTGTCCCCCAGCCCTGCGCCCCCAATCCCGCGTTGTGGGGGAAGGACGGGAGACATAGCGAGGGCGAGGTGGGGTGGAGAGAGCCCGAGCCGCCTGGATCCTTTTAGCAGGCAGCGAGGAGCAAAATTCTTTTAAAAATTTACAAAAAATCGGAGCCGCGGAGAAAAAGCACAATTCGCACATGAAAACCAAGCGGGGAGTCTGGGCTTTCCAGTCCACGGAGTTTAACTCCGGAAAGATCCCCCCCAAAGGAGATCCGAAGGGGCAAAGGATGGCTGGTGGGGCCAGCGCAAGGCAGGCGAGTCTGCGGGGCTGCGGGCCCGCTGCCGCTGCGCCTGAAGCCTCGGGGCGAACGGGGGGTTCAGCGCCGGCCCCACGGCCCCGACACACCGGGGGTCCCGTTCCGCGGGGCCGGGGGGCACCCCCGAGCCCCCCGGGAAGCAGCGGGGGCAGCCGCGCTCGGCGCCTGCGAGCAGAGTCCGCATGCAGCGCAACATGGCGAGAAGAAGGCACGTCCTCCCCACTGCATACGTGGGCACGGAACCCTCGCCGGGCAGAACGCGTGGCACACGGGGCACCCCCCGACCCTCGCCCTGCCCCGCGTGCTGCTCCTTTTTCCCGGGAATGCCTCAATCACAAGCGCTCCCGGAGGCGGATTTTCTTTGCTTTTAATTGCAAATGACTTTTCCAACTCTCCCCCCCACCACCACCACGCCGCGCTTCCTCCCCTCCTGCACCCCGCTGCCGGAGCCCCCCGGAAGGGGCGACTTCCCCCGCGGGCTGTCGGTGTCCCCCGCGCCCCTTTCCGCACCGGCTGGGCTCCGGAGGGGGACAAGGAGGAGAGGGGATCGACAAGAAGAAGGCACCCGGTGATCAGAAGAGCGAGGGGGCTGCAGGGGGAGAGGGGCCGGGGTGCTGCCCGCGGCCGCTGTGCCTCCCCCCCTCCGAGGGGCCGGGGTGTACGAACCTCCAGCATCCAAGTGGCCACCATCCTCCTCATGAAGGGCTGGATGTCCTTCTGGACGCACTTGAAGTAGGAGCATTGGGGCAGATACCTTTCCTCTATGGTTAGTAAGTTGTGCAAAACGCGGTCATCGTAGAGCAAGTTCGGGTCAGGCAGAGCTCTCCTCATGGGATCCACCTCGCAGCACAGCAGCTCCATGTTTCCAAAGAGATCTCCCTCTTTCTCTGATGGGAAAGGTTTTTTCCTTTTTTTTTTCTTTTTTTTTTTTTTTTTTGGAGGGGGGGAAGGGGGTGGGGATAGGAGAGGGGTAAAGGAGGAGGGGTAGGTGGGTGGGAGGAAGACGGCAGGGCTTTCCAGCTCGCTCCTGCCTCCCTTGAAACTTGTCTCTCCCTCTCTTGATTTCTAGCCTAAAGTTGAAGCGAAGTGACGCAACTCGCCAGGGCAGGCAGTTCTCTCTCGTTATTATGGAGAACAGCAGCTGGTCAGACGTAACATCAAACGCTTTTTTTTTTTTTTCCCCTCTCTATAAGCTAACAAGGAACCAGGAGGCCCTCGTATAGGGACACACAGACACAAATGACAGCTTCTCTTTTGCTTCCTTCCAGCAACCAAATTAAACCCGTTCCACAATTGCCTTCTGAGGGAGCCCGTCCCGATCAATTTCCCTCCGCTTATTGCAAGGAACTGTGGGCGCCCCTCGGTACCCACCCGGACGATGGGGGCGAAGTTTGAAATGCCCTGGCATAGCAGGGTGCCAGATCCATGTCTCGCTCTCCCTGCTCCGGCACCTCCTTAAGCCTCCAGCCGGAGGGGGACAGAGCTCCCCGCTAACAGCACACCCCCAAAAAGCCCTTGAGGGGTGGGGGTTCCGCGGCGTCTTCGGGGTGAAATCTGACAACCACCACGCTACTTCCTCCGGCACACATTCGTGGTTCGAGCAGGCGAACCGTCTTAGCGTTGCATGGCCACACTGATATAACTTTCTAGGAAACACAGCGGAGGGAGGGAGGGAGGAGGGAGGGAGGGAGGAGGGAGAAAGGTTGACTGGGGAGGAGGGGGGAGGTGAGAGGAGTTATGTCCCACACAGGGTGACTTCCACCCGGCTCGCACTTCGCCGGTAGTCGCTCCCCGCCTGCAAAATGTGACAACTCTGCGAAGTCTCTGCCGCTGCGGCAGAGCGGAGGCTCCCGAAGGGGAAGGCGCTACCGGGGCGGGCGCGGAGCGGCCGCAGCCCCGCGGGGAGCGGGGTCCCGGCAGCGGCCGCCCCTCAGCCCCCCGGCGGCGGCCGGCGCGGAGGGTGGGCCGGGGGCGGCGGGCACGGAAATACCGCCTTAAAAGTGCGAGCGGGGACTTTGGGGCGCCGCTTCCCCTCCCGCTATTTGCATAGCCAATAGCTCTGGGGCTCTCGCCGCTGCGCGCTGATTGTTACCGGGCAGATTATATTTTAAGGGCGCATGATGCCCGGGCATCGAGAGCAATCCGGGAGGGATGGGGCGAGAGGGAGCCCTCTCACCTGAGCGCACCGCCGGAGCCGGCAGCCGCACGGGCTCTGCCGGCACCGGGGGCAAGGCGGGCGAGCGGCCGTCGTTGCCCGCGAGTGGGCACCGGCGCCCCCTCCCACGCCAGCGCTCGCCCTTCTGCATCAGAGCGGATGGGAGGGGTGGGAACAGCTGTGCCGACTCTCGCCGGAGTCCAGCGGCAAGGCTGCCCCGGCAAAAGCTGGTGGGACACGGCTCCGCAGCGAACCCGCCCGTCGGAGCAAAGGGTTACTCGGGCTGCAAAAGCCCGCGGGAGTGTCGCCCGCCCCCATCCCCCTGTAGCGGGGGCAGCCGAGAGCAGCATCTCCCCACAGACTCATCCCCGCGCACCCCTCGTCCCGTCCGCGGAGCGCGCAGCCCCCGGGCGCAGAGATTGTCTCTCCCTCCCGAGACGTGGGGAGCTGCCGGGCATCGTGTGTGGCCCCGGCGGCCGAGCCGCGGGGTACCGGGACCCGAGCAGAGCCGTGCCAGGCAAAGCTCGCGTTTGAGCGGCGGCGAGGAGGGGGCAGCCCCCGGCGCACGGCGAGGGCGGCGAGCGGGACCCGCTGCGGCGCGCTCCGCAATGAAAAGCTCTTTAACTTCCACCATTCATTTCCCCTTCCTGGCTGCTCCTGCGAACAGGGAGCGTGTTGTGTCAGTGCACGTTTTCCTTCTCCAAACTTAAATTCATAAGCGCTCCCGTCTGGCTTTGTAGCCCGACAATGCAGCGATTGTGATTTATGTGGGTTTCGGGGGGGAGGCCAACGGGTGTCCCGATTGTCCGGCAGCGACTTTCCGAAGTGGGGTGATGTCTGGGGCACGGCGGAGAAGGGATGCGGGGCCCCCCGCGCCCCGCGATGGGGCGGCAGCCGGGAGAGCGGCCGAGGGCACCGCGGGCGGGCCACGGTGCTGGGCGTGTGGTGGGGATGTCCCGTTAGGGGGAAAAAAAAACCTCTCTAAATCAATAATAAATGGAAGCGTGCCAGCTCTGCACGCGGAGGTGCCACTGATCTGCAACAACGTCGTGAAAAAAAAAAAAGAAAAGAAAAAAGAAAAAACCCTACCAAAACAACCAAAACACTTTCTCCCGGTGCGACGGCTTTTATGCGCTCGGTGCCCGTTTCCAGCGGGAAACACCGTCCCTGGGAAGCTCGGCCGGCAGGGAGGGACGGTGCCAGGGGACCAGGGACATAGAGCCAGGGACCCGCGGCCGCGGAAGCCAGCGTGCCCGAGCTGCCCCTTCGCCTTGTCCCCGTGCCCACGGGCGCTGCCGCATGCGTTTGGAGGCAGCAGATGTTTTAACAGCCTCCTTGTAGAGATTACCGAGTGCCATATGTTAAATACCACCCTTCCTCCGGAAAAAAAAAAACCAAAAAAACAAACAACCAAAAACCAAAAACCAAAAAAAACCCCAACCCCAAAACAAAAACAAAACCACCAAAAAACAACACCTCCCCCCCCCAAAAAAAGGGCAAAAAAATAATAACAAAAAATAATGCAACAGTACAACAGCAAAACCCACCCTTCTCGCACTCGCTCCCCTTCTTTTGCTGATCTGCCTCACCCATTTAAAAGCATAAATGATTAAATCAAACGTCGCGGGGATGTGCGCCCGGCCCCGGGCGGGCGCTCCCGCGGAGCCGCGGGGGAGCCGCGCTCCCGGGACAGCCGCTCCTCCTTCCCATCCCCGCAGCCCCGAGGGAAGGGGGCTGTGCTGCTCCCAACACCACCGCAGCCGCCGGGTGGCAACACCGCCGGCATCATTTACGTCTTGGGACACTTGTGCGGGGCACCGAGTCCGGTGTCGCGGCTCCTCATCACCAACCCGACGCGCGATTATCGTGTAATCGATAATATGTAATGATATTTTATTGGCCTCTGTTGGAGAGCGCTGCAGAGCTCTTGGGGCTTTTAAATAAATCCTAAATTCGTCATCACTCCTATTTATTTAATTTATTTTCCTCAGAGAACCATCAGGAAGATGCTTCAGGGGACAGGATGGGCTCAGGTTTGCAGAGCAGTAGACAACGGCGTGAGTGCGCCCGGCGGCCGCGGGGTTTTTGTTTGTTTAAATGGAATAAGTATTCCTTTTCAGTGCTTGAAACCTGAAGGCTGGAGTGTGAAACATGAGAATCTGAAAGTGAAACCGACTGGAAGCCAAAAAAGAAACAGATGAACGTGTTTCCCCTGTCCAAGCTGAGGAAAGCCCCAAAAGCAAACAAACACCATGAATAATAAAATGCGCAATAGATTTGAAATAAAGTTATTCCAACTTCAGTCACTGGAAGGAGTCTAGTTTGGTGGTTTGGGTTTGTTTGGGCTTTTTTGTTAATTTATCTGGGTTTTAGCCATGCAAGTGTAAATCACATCATTTCAGGCTGTGCATTCAACAGGAAAAACATGATAAAAATTATCTTTTATTTCCTCTGGTTTTTGATGAAAGACTGGGAAAAGGATCTTCTGGGTATCATCCATGTATTTTCAAGGAGTTTTTTAATTATACAGGGTAGTTTTCAACTCTAAATAACTGTGTGGAGGCAACTTTATGATTAATAGCTGTATTAGACAACATAAGTATTGAGCAGGTGAAACATACCCTGTAATAAAACTATTCTCACCTTTACAGGGTGATTTTATGCAGGCTCAACAGTTAACAGCATTAACTAATTAATTCCGTGTGATTGGTTTATATATTTTTAATTAATTGCTCCTTTCTGTTTTGTGCAAAGTTTCTTCTTTAACCTTTCTCATTCCCCAGTTTAAACTTTTCAGAGCAGTAATTAGAAACTGTGTTTGTGCAAAGAGTGCACAACTCCAGTCAGATTCCTTTATTAGGTGAGATGGGAAAGGAGTCCAAAAAAAACCTACCAGGATGGCCATGTACCTGGGATTGATGTTTTATGCTGGAAGACTCGATAAATTCATCACATTTAGCCCAAAGAATTCCCAGGCTGACATTACTGCCTTATCCTTTGCAGCCGCCGCACTCCTCTCCAGGGGGGGCAGGGTGATAAGGTTGCGCTCGTTTACTCGGACAAGGAACAGGGAACAGGTGCCTCCCACGTGCCAGGAAGTCAGTGGAAAGTGACATTTTTTACCCTGGCATGCAGAACTGTACAGAGACGCTGTGATTCTTTTCTTGGGTTTGGGTTTTTTGTTTTTCTGCTTTTGGTGTAGATATTTGAAAGAGCAAGCAAGGTGCTGGTAAATTACAGGTATGAACCACTGATATCTATTTCATCATTAATAATATGATAGAATCTCAAGGTGACAACCTCCCCCGTTTTTTTTACTCTTCTCACTGCCTATGAATCAGCTTCCTTTTCTGCTTAAAATGGCTTTGCTGTTAACCTCTTGCATTCCCTACCTGCTGGCATGTTTGTATCAATCCTTAGTTCAAGAATGGCTTCAACATTAAATGTGCAAGATTTTTTTTCTTTTTAGACTGTTGAGATTTATCAATAAAAGACTTTCTGTCCCCAAACCTGCAGCTGATCTCCAATTTTTAGAGCATCTTGCTGTGACATAGCTTGCTTGCTTCCTTCCTTCCTTCCTTCCTTCCTTCCTTCCTTCCTTCCTTCCTTCCTTCCTTCCTTCCTTCGCAATGCTCAGTCTGTTCTCTGTGGTCTCTCAGGTGGTTCTGCTTTTACTGAAACAAATGTGGAGCTTCAATTCCATTTTATTTGCTTTCTGTCTACACTGAGGAAAAGATTTTATATTTCATACACATGTGTAGCAT